ATTTGCCTCTGGAAGAAGATTGACTTGACAAATTTAAAAAGTCTATTTGGGAGACAGATTTAAGCATATAATGCTTTTGTTGCATATCAAATTGGTATGGAATAAAAAAATTTTGAAAAAAAAAAAAAAGAACTAATGGCAGAATCCAAAGTTCTAAGATAGCTATCAGAGGCTGATTATGTGAACAGGTAATGTCAGGTTATATATAAAAACAGACTTCTACAGCCACAACCACAGGAAACGAATCCCTTATCAGAGATAACCAACCCAAGAAGCCACCCTGCTAGAAATCAGACTTGCAGCTGGACTTCCTGGGTTCCCCAGTGACAACCCATGAAACTAAACAGTAACTTCTGTAACAGTCGACCCTGAATGGCCTGGGATTGGCTAATAATTGATAATTACCCAACATTTAGACCCCACTTCAAGCTTAGGACCAAGTAGAGAAAGTTAACTAAATATGATCCCGCAAGCAATTTCATGGAGGACCTAGTCCATGACCTCCAGTGTCCTCAGGCCAGCAGCCTCTAGTGAGAAACGCCTGAGCCTTCCCTTTTCACAGGGTGAGGCTCTTGCTGGCTGGCTCCCTTGGCCAACAGGCTCAGAACGCACAGCCTTTGCTTTACCCCTCTTTTGGACTTAGTTTTTTCACAACTTTCTGAATCCATGTACAGGCTAAGCAGGTTAGGATGGGTTTCTGGTTTGCGGTAGACTTCATGCAAGGGTACAGCTCTGCTTCTTGGTATCCATCACCTTCATAGGTGTTCTTCAGCCGCAATCAACCAGCCCTTTACAACAGTGAAGGTACCTCTTGCTAGTCCTATAACGGGTTAGTTAAAACAAGCTGCTGACTCCTTCTTTCAAGCCCAGAGTTCCAGGTACCCATGACTTATAAGCTCACCGCAGCCGGCCTTGATGGAAAATGACCAGCTATCTCCAACCATAACTGGAAAGTTATCAATTTTATTTCTAGCAATTTCACAGTGTATCCTTTCAAAACTTCTATTTGACTCATCCTGGGAAACCCAAACAGATTAATTATTGGAAATCTCTACCCTGAGCCTAGGAATTTGCCCATCTGCAAGGCCTCACAGGAAATCCTGAGGTGGTCATTTGGGAGTTACTTGTCAGAACTGTCCTCTGGATACTGGGATAGACCACACAGTATTCCAAGTGAACTCGCAGCAGTCTTCTTCCTAAGAGGTGAGTAGAGGGGTCCTCTACAGTCTTCTTACAGTGCTCTCTCCTCTTCAGGGTCCCCAACAGTTTCTTTTCGTGACCCTCAGTTCTCTGTACTTTGCAGGTAGTAGCAATGCTTTTGCTAAATGAATAAGACTTAAATACAGTCCTGGAGATATAGGTGGATCTATAAAGTAGATTCCTCTTCTAAAAGTTGAGC